TTGTATTTGGTGTGTTGAGGCCGTTCATATACTAGTGACAGCCAGTTGAACGTGATTGGGGTTCAAATGGACAGAGGAATGGAAAAGAACTAGTACTGAGCAGTCACCAATTTTTTTACTTCGTACAAAAGTACTCCCAAGGAAATTCAAGACTGCATGTCACAAGTATATGGGGATAAGTGCCCTAGCTATTCCACTGTTAAACGGTTGACAGCTATGTTTAAGGCTGGTAGAACAAGCCTTGATGATACCCCTAGGTTTGGTCGTCCCTCAACTTCCATCCATGAAGATTTAATCAAGGAGATGGAAAAACGTATCCTGTCGAATTACATAAAATAATGATTATTTTAAGTATACAGTGTGCTTGGTTTATCATTTGAGCTGCTGTCAATTATTAACAAGAGCATTATCACTCTAAGTGCGAGTTCCAAGCTGCCAATATTCGGAAATTTTCGCACCTGGCTGATGTTCAAAATTCAATAAAGGGGGGACTGTTGATAATATTGATGGTATTACCATATTCAACCAGATCAGACGGCCAGAGCAACAAAACCTATCACAACACACATGCCACATACGTGCCTGACAGAACGGATTTGTCACATCTAGATGCCAAGACAACACAAGGAAATATTCATCGGCTTCACCGGGTAGGACAGATCGCTAAGAATATGTATGTCTAAATATATTTCATCATGTATTATAAACATTCAGAACAATTATCATTGGTTAACACTATGGAATTTCTCAAGAACTATCCTTCAACCATTGTCATACAGGTATTTCTCAGAGACCCCAAGTACTATGGGGAGTGTGTCCAGGTATTTGATGAATTGAGTGCCCTACAGGAAAATGCATTCAATGTGGCTGGGAGAGGTACCGTAATTTTAATCATGACAACATTCCTAACAACCTCTTTCATTTGTTACTATTATTTCAGCTTGACCTTACTTCTGCAGTGTGTATTAACTTCACATAAAATCAATGATGCATAGAGTGACAACTACCAAGGCTACAATGTACCATGTTTTCTAGAAAACGTCCCTGTCACTCACTGTCTTTATGAGACACTGTGAACTCACAAGACATGCAACAACTAATAACTTTTGTGTTCATGCTTTTTTCATGTTTTACGGTTAATATTGTCTTGATACATGTGATAGTAACTGAACTCTTTTCAGGGTGCAATTTCGATATATTGTCAACCTTACTTGTGCAGGCTGCAGTTAACAACTGGTTACGCAACAGGAAAAGGAACTGTCAACTTAAATATAACCTGATTACTTTTCCTCATTATACTTAACAGAACACACATTTACAATCTACTTGCTTTGAACAGATTAATATCGCTTGAAATATTATCGAGATCATTAAACCACTATTTCGTGACCTGATTATGCACCACAATAGTACCACTAAGCTTATTTTTCGTCCAAGGTGGGGAATTCAGGAGTGTCCATGGTTTGAGTCAAATTTTCATGACGTCTTCATCTTTTGATAGAACATACATATATCTTTACCAAATTATCTACCGGACAAATTTGATTACAATCCGTCAGTGTCCTGGAAAATAAGCATTTATCTGTTCTAAAACTAACAAAATTAATCATTCATTCCATCAAAGACATTGTTCGTTAACCTTATTGATGCATGGATTGAAACAAGTCGTGATGAGGGAAGGCTTTCACATTTCAAGGTCCTGATTGAAAGTTTTTTTTGTGTTGCCACAACAGTTGATGTAAACAATATTTCTTTGGGTCGCCACAACAGTTGACATAAACAATATTTCTTTGTGTTGCCCCAATAGTTGATGTTAATAGTATTTCTTTGTGCTGCCACAACAGTTGATGTAAAAAATATGTCTTTGTATTGCCACAATAGTTGATGTAAAAAATATTTCTTTGTGTTGCCACAACAGTTGATGTAAACAATTTGTCTTTGTATTGCCACAACAGTTGATGTAAACTATATTTCTTTGTGTTGCCACAACAGGTGATGTAAATAGTATTTCTTTTTGCTGCCACAACAGTTGATGTAAACACTTTTTCTTTGTGTTGCCACAACAGTTCATACAAACAATATGTCTTTGTGTTGCCACAACAGTTGATGTAAATAGTATTTATTTTTGCTGCCACAACAGTTGATGTAAACAATATTTCTTTGTGTTGCCACAACAGTTCATGCAAACAATATGTCTTTGTATTGCCAAAACAGTTGATGTAAACAATATTTCTTTGTGTTGCCACAACAGTTGATGTAAACAATATGTCTTTGTGTTGCCAAAACAGTTGTTGTAAACAATATTTCTTTATGTTGACACAACATTTGATGTAAACAATTTATCTTTGTGTTGCCAACAGTTGTAAACAATATGTCTTTGTGTTGCAACAACAGTTGATGCAACCAATATTTCTTTGTGTTGCCACAACAGTTGATGTAAACAATATTTCTTTTGTGTTGCCACAACAGTTCACGTTAACAATGTGTTTTTGTGTTGACACAACAGTTAACGTTAACAACATTCCTTTGTGTTGACACAACAGTTAACGTTAACAATATTTCTTTGTGTTGACACAACAGTTAATAAAACAATATTTCTTTGTGTTGCCACAACAGTTGATGTAAACAATTTGTCTTTGTATTGCCACAACAGTTGATGTAAACTATATTTCTTTGTGTTCCCACAACAGTTGATGTAAAAAATATTTCTTTGTGTTGCCACAACAGTTGATGTAAACTATATTTCTTTGTGTTGCCACAACAGGTGATGTAAATAGTATTTCTTTTTGCTGCCACAACAGTTGATGTAAACACTATTTCTTTGTGTTGCCACAACAGTTCATACAAACAATATGTCTTTGTGTTGCCACAACAGTTGATGTAAATAGTATTTATTTTTGCTGCCACAACAGTTGATGTAAACACTATTTCTTTGTGTTGCCACAACAGTTCATGCAAACAATATGTCTTTGTATTGCCAAAACAGTTGATGTAAACAATATTTCTTTGTGTTGCCACAACAGTTGATGTAAACAATATGTCTTTGTGTTGCCAAAACAGTTGTTGTAAACAATATTTCTTTATGTTGACACAACATTTGATGTAAACAATTTATCTTTGTGTTGCCAACAGTTGTAAACAATATGTCTTTGTGTTGCAACAACAGTTGATGCAACCAATATTTCTTTGTGTTGCCACAACAGTTGATGTAAACAATATTTCTTTTGTGTTGCCACAACAGTTCACGTTAACAATGTGTTTTTGTGTTGATACAACAGTTAACGTTAACAACATTCCTTTGTGTTGACACAACAGTTAACGTTAACAATATTTCTTTGTGTTGACACAACAGTTAATAAAACAATATTTCTTTGTGTTGACACAACAGTTAATGTAAACAATATTTCTTTGTGTCGCCACAACAGTTGATATAAACAATATGTCTTTGTGTTGCCACAACAGTTGATCTAAAAAAATTGTCTTTGTATTGCCACAACAGTTGATGTAAACTATATTTCTTTGTGTTCCCACAACAGTTGATGTAAAAAATATTTCTTTGTGTTGCCACAACAGTTGATGTAAACACTATTTCTTTGTGTTGCCACAACAGGTGATGTAAATAGTATTTCTTTTTGCTGCCACAACAGTTGATGTAAACAATTAGTCTTTGTATTGCCACAACAGTTGATGTAAACTATATTTCTTTGTGTTCCCACAACAGTTGATGTAAAAAATATTTCTTTGTGTTGCCACAACAGTTGATGTAAACTATATTTCTTTGTGTTGCCACAACAGGTGATGTAAATAGTATTTCTTTTTCCTGCCACAACAGTTGATGTAAACAATATTTCTTTGTGTTGCCACAACAGTTCATACAAACAATATGTCTTTGTGTTGCCACAACAGTTGATGTAAATAGTATTTATTTTTGCTGCCACAACAGTTGATGTAAACAATATTTCTTTGTGTTGCCACAACAGTTCATGCAAACAATATGTCTTTGTATTGCCAAAACAGTTGATGTAAACAATATTTCTTTGTGTTGCCACAACAGTTGATGTAAACAATATGTCTTTGTGTTGCCAAAACAGTTGTTGTAAACAATATTTCTTTATGTTGACACAACATTTGATGGAAACAATTTATCTTTGTGTTGCCACAACAGTTGTAAACAATATGTCTTTGTGTTGCAACAACAGTTGATGCAACCAATATTTCTTTGTGTTGCCACAACAGTTGATGTAAACAATATTTCTTTTGTGTTGCCACAACAGTTCACGTTAACAATGTGTTTTTGTGTTGACACAACAGTTAACGTTAACAACATTCCTCTGTGTTGACACAACAGTTAACGTTAACAATATTTCTTTGTGTTGACACAACAGTTAATAAAACAATATTTCTTTGTGTTGACACAACAGTTAATGTAAACAATATTTCTTTGTGTCGCCACAACAGTTGATATAAACAATATGTATTTGTGTTGCCACAACAGTTGATGTAGACAATATGTATTTGTGTTGCCACACTAGTTGATGTAAACAATACGTCTTTGCAACAACAGTTGATGTAAACAATATTACTTTGTATTGCCACAACCGTTGATGTAAACAATATGCCTTTTTTTGCCACAACAGTTGATGTAAACAATATGTTTTTGTGTTGCCACAACAGTTGATGTAAACAATATTTCTTTTGTGTAATGCTTTCACAGACAGACATTACAGTTAACCATGGGTTGAATGATGTTATTTTAATTGATGTAAAGAGCACTCCTTTATGCAACCCTATCACAGACACGGGGAACGTAGTTAATCATGATCATGTTGATGATAATGGCGACGATGACAAAGACGATGACAATGACTATGACAATGAAAATGACGACGATGATGATGATGCAACATGTAATATTGAAACAAACACAAGTCAGCTCAACTCACAACTCCAAAGACTCGAAAGTATTTATTAAAATAGACCAATTCTTTTCCTTCTCTTATACTCATCTGTTATTTTAATGCATCAGGAACATTACTTTTGTCTGAAGTTCGCTACTTTCATAATGATACAATTCTTTTCTGTAGTACACATATGATGATACTGATTCATAAGTAAATCAGTTTTGCCTTAAATGTATCAGTTTCTCCAGACACAACACAATGATACTGAGTACGGTCCCCGCACACACGACGATGAAACCACCTCCAATCTGGTTCACTGTGATTGACTTCAAGATTCGTTTTTGTGGACAATTTGTCAGGTTTCTCTTGACAGTCCATTTCGCCCAGATTACGTCTAGTATGCCACTCGCGGTGAGCTGCGACATTCTGCCATTGAGACAAGAAAACGCTTGAGTTCTGCTGCTTGAACACAGACTTCCACAAATTCACATATTGCGCTGATTTTATGTTGTGTAAAATGTTATCCGTACAATTTACGCACTAAATACACATTAATACGATTCCACTAGTTATCTGCTTTGGTGACATTTATTAAATGCCATCAAGGAATTAACTTGGTAATCTTCAATTACCAGTTAATAGTTGCAATGTTTCCGTTTTATGTATTTCATTACAGTTTTAACTATTGCAACTTGATTAATATATGTTGACTGAAGATTTTATCTCAACTTACACGTTCTCGAAGTCGGCTTTCAGGGGGGACCTTTGAGGCAATCCAAATGCCACGTGTAACCACAGTACACTTTCTCCTAGAAGCTCCAATTGGCAGTCTTCAGACATTAGGCGGTTTGTAATTGAGGCATGCTCCACAAGGGCATACTTCTCACTTCTCACTCTTTTGAAATGACTCTCAACATTGGAGGCAAGAAACACAGGGTCGTTGGCAGCTATCTTGGCCCAAATCCTTCCATTGACACTTGATGGAAGACTTGACTGACAATGTAAAACTTCATTAGAAACTAATTCATCCATACATTGTACACAATTCTTTAACAACAAGGCTAATCCAAAACACATCAACTATATAAGTCTCTCGCATTGCTGGCAGATGCTCAGCTACATTATTCAAGTCACATCATTCATGTCATAGAAGTAGGGAATCACAATATGCTGATACCGCCCTGTCCTTAATGTGAAATAGATTTCTAGCAACTTATTTCAATAATGATCAGGGCACAGTCGTTGAGTGTATTGCAAGAGGTTCATTTTTTAATATATGAAATAATATGTGCAACTTAACGTATTGATAACTGTGGTTAGCTTTGCTGCATCTTTTCTATAATAAACATGTAGCTCATCAAAATGCAATCCTGTACCTTACTGTACCATACACAACTGATTTGGACCATGTAGTTAGCTCATCCATACCTTTAGTGTATGACTGTGCATGTCACCAATTCTCGTACCAACATTCTAATGAACCCCATTATTTGTTATCAGGTCATCATCGCGGTGTGCATTGTGAGAGTATCATCATAAAACACACAATAAGACATAACCTAGGCTTAATTTGATGGACAAACTTATTTGGACCTTGAAATTAGCTGACCCGTACATTAAGTATGTGACCAGATATTCCACCAGGTCTCTTCCCTATAGAATAGTCACTGTCCAGAAGCCCCTCTAGGTCAGAGAAAGGTTTAACATCAGTCTGTGCAGACATAGCGGCGACCAGGTTGGCACAGTAGACTGTCGCCATCACCATCATCAGCATCCACCATGACGTCACCAACACCTTCCCGGGTAGAGTTCTAGGATATTTACTAAAACCTGCAAGTACAAAAGTAAGTAGGTATCTCCGAAAAGTATGCTTACTGTAACACTTTCAATAGACCCAATATATTGAACATATTTCCATCGTCATGTTTAAAACTCTGTTTAGTCCTAATCATTACTGAAATGTTGGCACAACAAATTGTAGTCATGACTTGTACTATACCCATCATGATTGAACCATCACCTTTCCATGTAGAATGTACAGACACAATTTTAACCTGATACATTAATCTTATATTGGGGATTTTATAGCCTAGGATACACATACGTTTTTTAGGTACATTTTGTTTCACTGCATATTCATCAAATCTTGAAAACATAAATATGTTGCATCTGCACATCTGCATTGTGATACATGTCATCCATTTATTTCTTATATATAACCACTGTACATGTACACAAAAGAGGTTGATGGGCATAGACAAATATTGAGAAGCCCTTCTTTGTGATGCACTTCATTTTGTACGTACCCTGCTTGAACAGAGATCCGGTGACCTCCCAGCAAGCACTAAGCAGATTCTGTTTCACTTTCTTCACATAAGTAACGCCGACATCGCCAGAGCCTGCAGCTGTTTCGTTCCAGCCGAAATCCACACTTTCGAACACAGCCAACAACAGAGGACATAATCCTGCCACCAGGAGCAGAATGAGGTACACCATAGGCCTGAGTGGTAGCTCCAGAAGGAACAGGGAAGTAGTTCGTTGTTTATCATGCCTCTTGTACACCACGTCAATGTGCGCTGTCCGGATCGGCGGATAAATGTATTCCATGTAATGAGATCGGCCTTCATTTATTACAAGGCCACAAGCAGCAAGGTCAACTTCCTGCAATACAATATAATTATTCTGGGTTACAATAAACTAGTCTTATTTTGGCATAAAAAGTATATGTGGATCGTATTTATTTTCATTTCAGGGTAAGTCATGCACTACATGAAAAGCAAAAGGTCTTAAGTCAATCTACCGTTCTGTTTAGCTGCCTCACAATTCCATCATAGGTTCCGTTGACAGGAAGTCCCCAAGACTGATCCTGTGGTTCAGTCATACTGTAACTTAGAGGAGAAGAAATTTTCATACAGTAAACTGTTACTGTCAAACTACAATCTCCCATTCAATAAAAGTGACATGAAGAGAACTACAATAAAACTATTGATAGTGGTCAGGTGAAGCAAAAAATAACTTAAAGTGTCTTACCTAAAATTAAGAACAGCGGCGATGGTATCTAAAATATCTATTGCATATCCTTTATACTGCGTTGTTCCATTGTTGGTGGACTTCACATTGTATACAGATGCCTGAAACATTGGAAAAACACATCTTCCGTCCATATGGGAATAGGGATGATGGTTGTATCATGAACACTGATGTCGTTTTTCGTAAATTCCCTTCAAGCACCCGCTGGGTGCGCTGATCCGGCCGGTCAACCTTAACCTGACAGCGCATGTGGTGTGCGCGATACGAGTGGAACGCGTTACCACCACACCTATATTCAGTTAACCAGCATAGGCTTCACCTCAATCAGTAACGTTCACGCTGGTGTACGAACAGTATACCTTTCGCCTTAACAATGATCTATCTGTTGTCATGTCCTGACATATTAGTTTCCTTGATTCCATGAAACATCAGGAATGACCACGACTGCTCATATTGTAATAATAAACCCCTGGACAGCCATTGGTGAGGTGAGGTGAGGTGAGGTGAGGTGAGGTGAAATTGGGTTTAACGTCCAGTCCAAGGTTATTGCACTTATATAGCGACGTGCATGCACGTATGTGTGTGTGGTCTGATAGCCGTTGGAAGCGATCTCACTGTTAATGGTTGCTCTGTTGATATTTTGCAGTCGGTACTTAAAGTGTTGCTCTTGAGGTTTGAATGTCACACTTTTATAAATGAATTTTTCATTGTATACGTACCCATATCTATGTTCTATTATCGCTGATCAGGCTATATGCATGCATTTCAGCGTAGCGGCTAGGCGATGTGGTATGCGATAAATATTGACAATTTTGACAAGTATTTATGAGGTATATGTCTCTTTAAGAGAGGTGAGATTTTTTCCAAGAAATTGTAAAAGAAACGAGCTATGACAAATTATGTCATTAACTTCAGATCATAATACGATGTTAAAAAAAAGGAAATAACAGAAATGAAATCCATTTTAATATTTATAAGGGTTATTTGGTGCTTGGTGTAGAAAAAGGTTTACTCGATGAATGGTGGCTGTTTGTTGCCAATTACTACCATGATTATATTTCAATAATGATACATAAAAGATAGACGTTTTTATGGCATTTTTAGAATTATAAATATTTGATAATTTCTATTTTTCAGACACAGAAGAGCATATATTGGCAAACCAACTTTCATCTTATAAATTAATTTTCAATCTCTATATTGTTGATTGTATTACCATTGCAGTGTTTACATCCAATTTGCTTTTACAATGATCAGATGATTGTAATAAATGAAGCTCATTCTTAATTTCATAAGTAGTTTCATAAGTATAATATGTTATTTGTCACAATCAAATAACATAAATAAATGCATTTAGACTTTCTACATGGAGGGATCGTGGGGTTAAATTTGCATTTATGTCTTGATAAAAATATTAGATAAAATTATTTTTAAATTATGTTTGCTTAATGCTACAGGTGTCTGGAAACACTGTTGAATGAAATCAACATAGCTATAACAGGATACTGCATGGGTTGAAAGGGGAAAACTTATCAACATATGTTACCAAAAGAAGACCATACAACAATAATTTACATCTATCTATGTAACATTCACATCTTTTTGGGTAGTCAGTATCATTTGCTGTTTGTTGGTACACAGCATTATCTTCGACTGCTTGAGGGATGGACGAATATCTGTAATTTATTACTGTTTTGAGAGCATGAGTATCAGAATTTTGTAAGAAATGGGTCACTAAATTAACACCTGCGATTAATTAAAGCACTAAATGATGGGACACAATTTATAGGGGGGGGTAAAATATGATTATATTTCGAACTATGTTGTTTGTTGATAAATGCATGGTAGATTGCCAAAGAGTATTGTCAGAATAAAAAAATTAAATTCAGATGTTAGAGGAAATGTTGATATGAAAGTAACATTTAAAATCAATTGTTTTAATTCTGTTATTCCTTTGTAAAAAAAGTAGTAAATGCATGATTGTATGCTAATTATAGATCAGCGGTAAAGGCCTGTCAGTGGCGTGTGCTGCAATGGAGGCTTATCGCCAAGTTTGGTACATTTAAGTCCATGGTGGTATGAAAACTATTTGTTCAGATTTGAATGCTGCAACAGTTGGAGACTTTTCGTGAGAAATAACATAAAGGCTGATAGATAAAATGAGTTTGCATTATTTATCGATGTGACTGACAGAATGCCTCGCCGTTTTATGACGTAGAAAATGACGTGGCAACATACCGTTTTTACATTGCGTGTCAATTTTTTCGTGTTTTAGTTAAAAACAAAACAAATGTTGATATTCTAAACTATTAACCATACAACATATGTGATAGTTTTTAAAAATATTCAGTCATAAACAAACGTGTTTGAATGAAGGTGCAACAGGGTAACGTTTTAGCTTGGCTCCGTCTCTACGTGTCACGAGTCGTCGCAGCGCACCTTGATTAGGGAACCTTTCCGGAAGCGATAGGTTAAACCATCACTTACATCATTTCAAATAGAGAGTTACTGTCCTTGACACCGGGTCCCCACGTTTCAATTGAAATTTCAATGTTCTTTCAATATTGAAACAAGTGACCATATCACAAGCATTCGAATCGACTTTTCGGTACTGTCTCAAATAGAACCGGGATGTCTTGTAGCAAATTACTTCCCTCCTCTGTATGAAAGAAACAATCTATTCAAAGCAAAAGTCCATTCATATCGTTTCAATTATTTGACGCCATTTAATATATATCAAAAGGAGAGTTATTTCCCTTTGGAACAAAAATGACACTAAATAATAAATTTTCAAGCCTCTTGTTTTTTTTAAACATTTCTTGTGACAGACAATTTCTTTCTTTTATCAACAGTCTGAAGCGTTTTCGTTTTCAAGCATTATCAGGACAATATACTTATTATATTTGCAGGAATAACATAAACGGCAGAAAATCACGTTTTTAAAATGACACCTATAATTAGAGTCGGATCAATATTCTTTCAACATAGTTTTATAGCATTGTATCTTTGTTTCTTTTTAAAGCCGCACTCAGTGATATTCCAGCCATATGACGGCGGTATGTTAATAATCTTATCTGGACCAGACAATCTAGTGATTGACATCATGAGTATCGATCCATGCATTTGAACATGCGTCAACCAAGTCAGCAAGCCTGACCTGCCAATCCCGTTAGTCGCCCCTTACATCAAGCATAATCGCCTTTCACAGCAAGTATGGGTTGCTGAGGACCTCTTTAATATTCTACCCCAGATTATTTAGAGACAACATTGCTTGGTTTGTCTCCTGCTTTCGTTTAAGCTGAGGGTGTCAAGAATGCAGTAAATATACATAAACAGTGTTATGCCAAACGCTAAGGCCATAGAGCATATGTACGTCAAACATAAACGTATGAAGACAAACACATGCATATATAATAT